CTGGGAGTTGAAGTCCACTCATCTTAAAGTGGCCAAGTTTGGACAACACTGGTCTAAAGCTTTCCTCAGACAGAGCATTTCTTCCACTAACCCCAGCTGAAAATGGGGGGAGAGCATTGTAGATGAGGCAAGGTCATTATTGCTCAGGGCCTCTTATGAGACAGTGACCCCTTCCAAACTGAAGACAACATGATGTTTTTCCACCATTAAAGAGACCTATTTATTTATTTACTGGCAGAATAGAAATGGGGGGGGGCATTGTTGTCTCTTCTAAAGGTGTATGTCCTGTCCAGTTTCAGATGACTAGTGTCAAGGGTTTTATGTTGTTGTTCAGCAATAATCAAATCAAATATTGGTGTTCTGGTTAATAAAAGAAGGGGCCAAAGCGAAACAGCAAAAATAATGAAATAAGTAGCTCATTTCAATTCAGTCTTAGAACTGAACCTATGTAATTAATAATTATCCATGTTATCCCTAAAGAGCGGAAGAATTTCAGCAGACACTTTTCAATTTAATTTAATTCATTCATCAGTACAGGGCATTGGAATTCCAGGATTGTCTAGTATGGCAGTATCTATTAGGTACAAATCCTTTTTTAAAATAAGGATTAGAGTAGGGTAGCTAATGCGTAGCCCGAGGGATGCAAATATCCCTGATGTAATTTTTATGCCTCCCAAGGTTGTGTCATTGAAATTCAGCAGGAAACGATCAAGTGTGAGCAGCATGATTGTTTAAAAGAACATGAAATAAGGCTGAAAATAGTTCGATTAAGCTTTCAGTAGGCTCAGTTGACCTAATTTGAGACAAACATAAAGGATCAAATCTAAATCCAACTTCCTCCCCCGAAAAAGAGACCAAATTTGACCCTACTCCTTATGGAGATGTCACCACTTCAGTATCATTCTTCTTTGCTTAGTCTTCTAAGTCCCCTTAATGTTTGTTTGTTTGTTTGTTTGTTTAATATCTCCCCCAGCTGCAAAAACACCACCTGCCTCTGTATTAGACAAAAAAATGTAACTTATATCCATCATTTATGACTTATTGTTGGGGAAATAAAAAGTTTAGACCAACTTTTGGCAACCTTATACCCTCCAAATCTGTTTAGACTTAAGTGCCTATGATTCCCATATCTCCCAAACTTTCTAAAAATTATGGGAGCTAAAACCCTAAATTCCTGGAAGACATCAATTTGGAGGAGAACGTTGGCTTATATTTTGATTTGCTCCAACAAGATAATTCTTTCTGTTTTTAAGGATTGCCTTCTTCTCTAGGAGATCTCAAATTTATTTCATTGGATTTGCAAGAATGAGGGAAAGTTCTAAAAGGCCTTCTTGCATCCAGCTGGCTGTCAGAAAGAAACAACCGTTGTCCTGTCTCTCTTTCTAGCTCAGAATGTGGTGCACAACTCTGCAGTAGTAATTGAAACAACTGAGTGCATACAAGGGCAAGGAGAAGGCTACCGTGGTACTGTGAACACCATCTGGAGTGGGATTGAATGTCAACGCTGGGACTCTCAGGTGCCTCACCAACATAACTTCACATGGGAGAACTTTAAATGCAAGTGAGTTGCCCATATAAGTAACACAAGTTAAATATAATTGATTGACCACAATATTGAAAGCAATCATTGAGGTTTCTAATCCAAAGACAGAAATTAGTGCTATTACGTCTTTTGGAATTCTTTGTCAACACATTTCTTCAACAATTTGACATGTAGTTTGTGCTGTAAGAAATAAACTCTCTCTTTCTAGGTATTATATCTATTTTGGGGATGGTTCATAGTTTCCTGTGTAGTGTTGTAATGTTATAGACTTGTGAGCAATCCAATTTGCACTCTTAATGGGTCCTTTGGGGTGGGGCAACAATATTGGCAGAAATATCTTGTGTTCTTTATATTCATTGGTGGCAAATTCCTTGAGCAGATGACTTCTCATAGTATGTCTTGTAAATTGCAATATGGTGGTTATTTGTATATGTGCATGTTTGGGCAATGGACCAACATTCCCACAGTTGACTACAGCTGGGAGAGCTATTTGGCACAGGAGCTATGTGAAGACACATGGTTTTTCTGATCTTGGACATTAGCAACTTCCTTCTCCATCTTTCTGTATTTTGGGAGAAGGTACAGCTTTGCCTTCTCCCATCACTGGATGCTTAGTTATTCTGAAGGAATCTCCATTCTCTCAACCCTATTCACCTGTGGATAAATCAGTTGAAATGGTGCAAGCCCCACCATCAATTCTTCCCCTCCTAATTAGGATTGCTGCTGGTTGTGTGGAACCATGATCTCCTGCAGCTGTTCATACTTCACCACTTAAATTGATTGGCTGTTTCTTGTGAAAGCTTCACTCTCCATATCTTCAATCTTCAGCATGACATCACAGTGGCCAGAATATTGCTTGGGGGTAAGTGAGGCTTAATATGTTTGTTTGTTTGTTTGTTTGTTTATTTATTTATTTATTTATTTATTTATTTATTTACTTATTTAGTATGCTGCCCATCTCCCCCAGCAGGTGACTCTGGGTGGCTCACAATGAAAGTAAAACCCACAAACAGTTAAAAAATAAACACCCCCATTACTTAATTAAAATTAATTAATTAATTAA